CGTGCCAATTCAAGTGAGGTTGAGAAGTTGGGTTTCGGAGGCATTGGTTCGGGTGATGCGCTAATCAGATACACACGTATGCTTCAAAATGCGCTTAACCCCGCTGAACAACTGAATCGCTACACGAAGTGAGTAATGGACTAGCAGCGAACCAGGGGTTGGAGCGAAACTGTTCCACGTCTGCGTGTGATAGGATATGGGCTAGACTCCCTACACGTATCTAGAGAGAATGCGGATCCGAAAGGAAATTGTGACAGGAGTACCTTAATTCCTGCAACCGATTCACACTTCCGGTCCCAAGCGGATTAGCAAACATTTCGATGAATAACTCCGTTTGCGAAGCTATCAAGTGAATTCCAACTAATGGCATAATTCGGCTCTGGGCTAGCAACTGTATACTTGGACTATGGCACATAATTCATTGGGACAAACCTGTGTCAAGCCGAGCAGTGAGACCGTACTCGAGGTGGATCCATTTCTGTGTCGTTCACTCCTGATGAGGCCTGCGGTGTGCAACGCCAGCATGCATTGTGGGAAGAGAGCCGTGGATGGACTAGTTTTGCCCGCTGGTCCTTGTACTCCTATGTAGGGATCACATGTCATCCTCCCAACTCAGGACTGTACATAACCTGAGTAGCTGACTCAGCTAAGCTGAGCAATGCGGACACTGGAATACGCGAGGATAGCAACGTACTCAGAGTTAATCTAGATGGTACCCACAATCCTGTCATTTATAGAATGCTGCAGCGTTGGTCCAACTGCCCAAGGTTTTCTTTTCCTGAAACACCGCGGCTGATCTACCATCACCGTCCAAAAGTCAGATACGCTGCATAGTTGACGATTACTCTAATATGAAATGTTCAGCATAGTCGCACACGTTGCTTTCAGTATTGACTCCAGGAAGTTTTCATTCTCACAATCTCTGTTCCAAACATTCTTATCAGGTTGTCCCTGAACCTCCGCACTACGTACATTTGGTACGTATGCTTCCACAGGTTTTACTCAAATGTGTCTGTAGTAGACCCTGACTTAGCGCCAGTCAGATGCTCGGCAGCTGGTTTTAGTTCTCAAGGTCGTGCTGTTCTCATGTAAGGGTTCGCTAACCGAAAGAACCCGACCAGTGGCCGATTGATGCGTTTGGCGTTTGGCTTGCAATCCATGAATATCTAGTTCGCAGTTGCATAGATATGGGCAAACTCGCAGTGTCCCAACCCGCATGCAAGCTGCTGCGTTAGCATGGTGGCATGAGAGCCTCGGAAGGAGGAAACAATATGGACGAATGTGGAACTGTCGACCCCGACCGCACAGCTTCGTGTAAAATACCACATCGGCCGATAACCATGCGCCCGAAACTGATTCGTTGAACATCATTGAGAACGTCATACGCACTCGGTTCACGAATGTGTATGCCAGCTTGCTTTTGAGGTCCACCAAATCTGCAGGAGTCAAATGGATAACAACAGTAGCCGGTAGGAGCTTTCTGAGTACAATGCGTCGCGGATTTCTCCTGTGGGTGATAGGACGAATTCTCAGTTACCACATCCAGTCGAACAGAGGTACGTGTTGTTGGTCTGACCGTCTTCGATATTGTCTATCGTGGTCTCCTAAGGCTCGTAGTTTGAGTTGATAAGGAAAAGGGAGCAACTACCCAACCTTTCTAAACAACGCGCTTCGGGGAGTTTTTAAGACTGAGAGCACACTTTTAACGGGGAAGTAAATCCGGATGACGAATTCCAAATGAGACCCCAAGCAAGTGTTGAGCATTTGTGGGAAGATGGCGGGGTGGAACCTTTTAAACGCTCTTCGCTTTGGGATTCGCTTTCCGCGCCGCCGTTTCGGCTTGTCTTGAGCAAGTGAAATCATCCTGTGTATCTACACTGAAGTCAGTTTCATGAGAGTTTCGTTTAGATGATTCTCGCAGGTTCCCTGGTGATATGTGTACTTAGTAGACCTAAACTGAACCATGTCCTGAGCTGTCGTCGTTCGCTTACAGTGTTATGTAGATCTCTACTGTCATGATGGTTTACCATATCTTGAGATCATCAGTAAGAATTAAGAACTGAGATGATTACTCCAGCAAGATCGTTTATGAACACCAGTAGTAAGCGTGATCCTAGCACTGAAACTTGTGGGGTGTCACGCTGCAATTCTCTCTAGTCTTATGTATGCCCACCTGCAAGTGAGGTTGGTGGAGCAAGACCGGTACCCAACCCAAGATTGGATCGCAGGCCCCATCGCTCTGAAGCACGTGAAGAATGATGCAGTGATGCAGACGAGCAAACGTCTGAGATGGTGTTGATTTCCCTCTTAACATCAATATTTTCCGCTCAGCTGGTACGGATTAGCACAATGTTCGTGACGCATGAGCGGTTTCGGTGGAAGCCATTCCGCTGCGGCGCAACGATTCTGCAATTTTACGTGCACCCTTCAAGTGTTTCCGGAATGATACCCTCATGAGTTTAGAAGGCATCGGAAAAAGAGTTATCGAGTGACGACTTGTGATTGCATCATTTACAAACAAAAGCGATCATTAGGTGTTTCAACTTGATGGCAACCTGCGTCTCGTCTAGATATCGTTGAAAAAACGTGGACATCGTTTCCATCAAGTTTCTGGTAGCCACGTTCAAGGACTTTACGCGTTTGTTATCTTCACCATGGAGATGACATCGATCGGTCCAACACAGCATCGATCGTGAAGGAAACCTGGCTAAGCCTTGGTCGATTGACCAAAGCTGACGGTTGGTTCGACGAATCAGTTGACTGGCACTTATTGTCGATATTAATACCTACCATGTAGTTTACCGTCCAGCTCATTGGACCCGCTGTTCGGGTGATCAGAATCCGAACTATTGCGGGGTAGAGAAATTTCGCATCCTTGAAAGTAATAGATGGGTGCACATTTATTTCGGTCTTCCTTTTAAGCAAGTGGCATTCAACAAAATATCTTTAATTGATTATTCCGAAGCATATTTATCATGTGAAGCAGTACTTGAAGCAGATGGTAAAGGTGTTCCGGAAGAATCGGTTAAAAATGTCTTTGCTGTTTCATTTTCAATGCAGTTTGTTTAAAAAAGCCGCGACAATTATTTACCCCATAATAATATAACCGAATGCGGTAGGTGACGGTTTTAACAAGGTGGATGTTCCCACTAGGATGTAATAGTACGCTATAGTTGTGGTCAGGGTTCCGTAACCGTTGCTTGAGTTCGTTCGGACAAACAGCGCCATCGGGGCTTCGTTGTACCTTTAGGATAATCAGCTCTACACCATAAGTTGTCATATGGTTCCCAGCCAGCCACATAACTGGTGAAAAAAGCAGAAACTAAATTGTTGAACTTCGGTTCTATGCCAAAACATGTTCACCTGTTTTCGTAGAATATATCGATATTTGATCTCCCTCCACCATCTGCATCTATCAAATTTCTAGATTTCCATACTACCGGGAGAACAAACAGGGCTGGCAGAATTCCATTAGACACAATCTCAGCCTGAACGATTGTTTTATCAAAGTGCCGCGCGACGATAAGAAACCGGGAAAAGGCTCCTTTTGGACTTTGCATCCAGACGCACAGGGTATGTTTGATAATGGATCGTTTCTGCGTCGGAAACGCCGTTTCAAAACCGACCACAGTATGCCTGGCCGATACTGCAGTTCGAAGAAGCGGTATCTCGCCGAATTAGCCAAAGGAGCTGATATTCTAGAAGGTTCCGTTGGTGAGGATAATCCAAATTCAGGACCGAATGAGAACTCGACATATCAAAGCTGTAGTTCGGTGCAACGAAAAGATCACATTCGAAAGCCTCAAGAGCTCAAAAACTCCCATCAAATTCCCCACCAGTACGACGACTATCCCAACCTGAATGGCTACAACCCGCTGGTCAGTTTACAACAGCAGTTGGACGAACCCTGTTTGATTCGAGGTCTCCCCGTGAATGCTAACGGTGGTTGTGACTGCACTGTCTCGGAGGCGCTCACGGCATTCCAACCGAGGACAGTGCGTCAGGAGCTTTACCTAACAGGCTTCCCATTGTCCTCAGGCGCAGCAGAAGTTTGTAGAACTTTGGATCACGCGTCCTCTGTTGGGTGTTTGGATGCAGACGGCGGTCCTGTCGCACAAGACATTCAACACGGTCTTCTCCACCCTGGCCAGATCGATGGCGGGCAGGATTTTACTCGGTCGGCAATAAGCAAAGGTCAATGTTCTCAAACTACCATCAATCTGGGCGTGAATCACCAAGGTGTAACGTGTGAAGTAAGTGGCTCTATAATTGGTAACTGATGGACTCCAATAGGAAGCGATAAAATCTCAATCCGATTGCGGTTTTACCTGTGGTGCGGATCGCGCAGGTCCAACCATAGGACCAGCGAACGTCTATAAGAAATTGAACTGATCACGTTCACGCTGTGTTGAACAACAGCCAACGCTAGAGTATGAGATAGCGGAACAATAATTGATTTGGCGATGAAACTTCGATAGGGACTTGTTTATGTCACTTTTAGCTTACTCTACTTCCTTCCATATTTGGGTTAAATCACAAATAAATTGGACTGGAGATATTTTATAAGCAAATACATATGTATTTGCTTCAGTTAACAAGGAACTGCACTCGTTTAGGGTACAGATCAGTATTTACCTAACATACATCCTCGTGCACGTAGACTTCCCGTAGAAAGAGTTTAATTGCGCATCATTATAGTCAATAATGTACATATTCATGGACCCCGTAAATCGGACAATACGATGTTCAGCTTCCACTCGTTCATGCAGTTTCAGTTAAACGCCATATTTCTGATCAGCAGTATCAGAGTTATTCGCCCTCCGTTTTTTCTTTTATCACTGAAAACGCAAGTGAGAGTGTTAAGGAAAAAATAGTACGTTCTTACGTAATCAAAACTGTGCATATTAACTAAGGCATTTAAATTAAGGAGCAGGTATCAATTTGTCCACATGTGAAAATGGAGTCTATTGGGGAAGTAGAAACGAATGAGTCTGATGAATCCTTTTGCTTCTGATACTTCGATTTCGGAGACAACGTGTTGTTTGTGCAAGTGCATATAGACAGATAATAGCTTAAGAATGAAAATGAGTGAAACGTTAAACCTGATTATCTCCCCCTTTTCGATTTCTATGTGGACACGAGAGCTGAAAGATAGGCTCAGAAGTATGAAAAGGTAAGTGTTGGATAGAAGCAAATAGCGAGAAGAAAACAACCACGCTGAATGAAGACAAAACAGTGTCTTTAAGATGTGACAGTGCGTGTATTTTGACACAGACGCATCATCAAGCTAGGAGGATCGAGGGAGGAAGGTGTTGAATTATCACGTCAAGAATTAGACTTGGCTGTCCAACTTATCGTTGTGCGCATGTATCTCATATGCATACGGTGAATCTTTGAGTATAGGAAAGAAGTGTGCAAAATAAAGTGAAATGAAGGCAGTATCATGTTTTCCAATATGCCAGTGCCCGCGTGTAGTCACAACCTCATGGTGCATCGTTGAGTTAGGGGAGAAAAAACAATCAGAAGATGTGTTGGAGATGGAATGAGACAGCAGAACACTGAATTATGTCCCCCACCATATCAGTGTTACCAACTCCCGATACCACAGTCTATGACAATATCGTTCTTGATTGGGATCCTCTAGTTATGACGACCGACCAGAGCTGGGAGCGGAACCCGGCACATAGTGGCTGGTGCCTCCAGCTGCGTGAATAATACCGGAAAAATCTCCACTTCCAATGCAGTCCCACAAATCGGGTACTCCAGAATCCAGCAACAATTCTATCTGTTCTGGGTTGCAGGTGGTACACACTGCAGATGAAATGTCGAACGAGGTCAACGAGACTTCCACTATTTGGCATTGTTCTTGCAGATATTATTTGCGATAAGTTCGTGTTTCACTCCTCAACTCAGGCTTCTCATGTTTCATTATACTTGCTGCTTCCATTTCGAACAGGTGTTAGCTCACTAGGTCATAACTTCTCCCTTTTACTACCTCATTAAAACAACACGTACGCAAGCTAGTCGAGATGACTTCGTAATGGGAGTCCGTATACAGGTCAGCGGAGAAACATGGACACCAGACGAAAGTTTCCATATGATCACCACACTTCCCCAATAGGTACTCGTCTTGAAACAAGCGAAGGTTAGTTCAATGAGTTATCTCATTCTCAAATTTCCCTGGGCCATTTTGCGAGGCACAAAGTTAAGGCAAATACAGTACAGAGAAAATAGGCGCACTTGAACACGCGCACATACACACATACGCTAATACAGTGCGAGAAAGTTTGACATGAGCTACTGACCCCAATGCATGGACAACCTCACCGTTATGTCGTGTATTCGCACTGGCAGTGACATTAAAGTCTCAGTGTTCCGCATGTTCGGGTTGGGTACACAATGTGGGGCGCGTGCGAAGAACAAGCATTCTGTGCCCGTATTCTTGTGACCTCGAAAGACGCAGTAACCCAGTTCGAAACCGAGGGTGTAGTCGGATAAACCAGGACAAAGTGTTCAACTGCAAAAGAAACACGCAAGGCGGGTGCCAAACATGACCGATTTAACGACTGCAACAATTTGTGTCAGGGTTCGATGAACTTGCGTTGACGGCGGCATTAGTCTCAGTGCTTAGAGGAACTGCGCTGATTTGAAAGACCGACACTGCAACGTGCTTGGATTCCCACCCAGGTTGGTTAACGAGTACAATACGGGTTGATGCTGGTGCCTCAGGGGCTTCTCTAATATGGTATCAAGAAGTTCTCCAGGGTGATGGGGTAACTACTTTGTTAGCACAGAATCGCTCTTCCATATGCGGAAACATCAATCACGCTCAGCGAGTGCGCTTAGTGAGAATTGTCATCTTCTTGCTCGACACATATATGCATCAAAAAAGCTTTGAGGATTAAAGCAACGTGTGTCCGATCTGGTTACGATCCATCCAAGTGTACGGGGTGAGCTAGTTCACAAGAAGCTCGTCGACTTCGGTGCTGTCACGCAGCCGTGCCCTTGGCCCACTAAAAGGCAGACCAAAGGTGAAATGCCCTATTTTGTTACTACAACCGGTGTAAGTGGTACAGAGTTTCACATATTTTCTTGAAGTACCAAATAAATCCATTTGGAGTACTCATCGCGTAGTTGGATTAGGACACAATCTCTGTAGAGACCTACTTTTCTTTGAAGTAGATCTCGGTCATTCCGACCACAAGGACCGTATCCAAATAGGTGTTTCGGTGTTGCTGCTCCCAACACTGACATCCCATGACCGGTTTCGTCCTTGTTCGGACTAATCAGATAAAGATAGCTTGAGCTGGGGTGGAACTGGGGGCCTAACGGTTAACGGTTGACTTCCTAGTCACTGTGCTACTGAGAATCGTGAACAAAGCTTGGCACAACGGTAAGTCATTCAAAGTCGGGTTTGAAGTACTTACTGTGCGGTTAGATGACGATACCCAATCGCTATTGGGACCTCTGTCATTCCGATCACCAGGACCGTATCCGAATTGGTGGAGTTGCGATGTTGCTCCTCCCAAAACTGACACTCGTGCTTGAACTCATCAAGTGGAGATAGCATGAGCTGAGTGTGGAACTCGGGGCCTAATGGTTATCGACTGAGGTCTTGTTTACTAGACTACTGAGACTCGTGAGAAACACATCGGTTAGGAGTACATTCTACACCAGCTCAGGCTACGTTTACCAGATGAATGAGGACGAACCCGGTCGTGGGGTGTCAGGGTTGGGAGGAGCAACATGGAAACTCCAACATTTCAGACCTTATCCGGCAATTAATCCACTCATCTCGGAAATTGGGCATGTAAAAGTTAGAGCATTTACGTACCCATCGATTGCAGGTGACATGAACCAGGAGTCTGATAGCAGGTGCATGACCTTCTGTGGTGTGTTTGTGCCTATATTACCATAGCTTGCAAGCTTCTTCGATATGAACCATCCGCGCGGAAACTCTCATTACCGGTCTCGCTTTAGCATAGGTGATAGATCGCGGACTGGAAGACACATGCAACCAACTGTTATACTTTTTAATGGCATATGAACAGTGGACTGGGAGGTCATGTAGATCTGGATTGCTGGTTCAAAAGTCCTGTACCCTAGATGTAGACTCAGCTTTGTTCGGTTCCCTAAAATCATGTGTAAGCTGTGTGAAAATCAGGTTTCAATCATGCATTTAGATGAAGGATGATGCAGTAACATAATTCGAAAAGATATGTGAATGAATAGCAGCTTTTAACCGGTCAGATTATCGCACTGACCGGTCCGTAGTGGGAAAAATTTACCGCACATGGTTCGATTCCAATCATTCAGCAATATCCATAACTTGAAGGACGGAGGATTCGGCCGTATTAGTTTAAGCCGCATAGTTGGTGGCAACAAATGATCGATACACTAAAACAAAAAATTTAGATTGTCAGACGGAATAATTAGGTTCTAGTTAGAGCGACGAGTGCAACAGTGTCACCGACTTCGTGACCGCGCCCTATCGAATAGTGTACCCAACCACTGACGCGACGGATTTTGAGGACCCTCGTTCAGCAAGAAAAGTAGCAACCGGACTCAATCTTTTGGTGAGATTATTCACTCACTTTCACGGTACTGCCAAAGTTTAGTGCGGAGACAGTCAGTTTCTAGACATATGAAGGAGCTAACTCAGAAAGAACTTTGATCCCCTGCACTAGATGGATTATTCTCTCGTTTAATGACTCAGCGCATCGATTCCCACCTAATTCCGAGTTTTCGAACTAATAACACGCATTAGACCGCTACATTCGCAAACGAGTATTGTTATTAATTCGCTTCACATACAACCACTATGTCTCACGGTCACATTTTCTTGTCTTCAACTAATAGTACTGTTACGGTTAGCTGTTTTCGTCGGCTGCCCGCACGCTGCACACCTAGCCGTGAGCGCTGGATTTTACATTACTCTACTCTTTAGTAACACAGTTACATGATCATGTCACAAGTTATCCTGTTCCAACGGTTTTCTTTCCGGACCGTGCGTATAATCTAGGTTTATAAGTCGAAGGAGCACTATCCATATACGTTCGTGCGACATACTTGGATTTAGTGTGGTTCCATATGACTGAGCCAGTAGGGATGCTTTGTGTTCAATAGATGATACTCCAACGCCGTACAGGAGGGTCTGGTACCAAACATCAAACGTGGAACTTCCGCCTTAGTCATTTAATGACTTTACCGAATATGAGCAATATTCCGTAAGCATAGAACATGAAGTATATACAGCCAGCCCCTCAAAGCCTTCAGCATACAGAGACCATACTTCGGACCCACCCAATAATACTGTCCACAGCATTATAAACCGTTCTCGGAATCAATAAGCCCACGCGTAACCGTCCTTCGAATAGCCACACAAGTTGCGTAGCTGAGCGCAGCAACCTATCCGGCCATTGGTGGTGATACAGGTACAAAGATGAGTGTCAGTCAATTACTACAAACGCTTGTTTGCGATTTTGAAAGTCGGTGGCCGAAAGCATTATGCGCTCGCATTGTAATCCGGAAGTTACCAGTTCAAATCCGCGTAGGTGTGGGCGACCTCGCGGTGTACTCAGCCCACGCACGACCGCTGGTGGTCGCGCGGCAGCGGAGCGTCGGCAAGGTGTGCCGATGTGTTGCTGATAGCTTTCCTTACCTTAGCGTCATAGCAGCAGTTTGTAGGATAAGCGTTTGAAATACGTGCAGAAAGATGTGATTGAGTGCGCTAGTCTACGTACCAATGCATACACAGTACCGCAGTCAGATTTAGAGAGAAGTATATCGTCCACTAGCCTCGAACTTGACAGCAGGTCAACCAACAGAACCTAAACCCCAGAAGAAGGTTGGAAAGGGTCATCCGTGCTCATCCTCACCACAAGGTTAATAAGAAGTGAGGCAAATTCTAGGCAATCCGGCTGACGTGTTAAACATAGCTAACAGCCTCCCATAGACACTTGAACTTTGTCGGGGAGTCATGGTAGAAAAAAAGGGAGCATAGAAAGGAGAAACTTTCCCGACACACGCTTCGTAGATAGGTATTGAAATCCACGGATGGAATTGAAGACGGCACAAACGGCATAGTAAAAGCATGAGGTGATTTCACCAACCCTCGCCACTTATGGCGCCTGCTCGATATCACTCTCTCTCTGAAGGGTAGAGTGTACAGTGCAGACGTACGTTCGACTCTACAGCACGGTAGTGAAACCTGGCCCCTTAGATCAGCTGACAAAGACGCTAGTTACTTTCAGCTACCAGGGCCTTCACAGTTTGGCTCATATCTAATGGGAACACCGTGTGAGCAACGAGCGTGTTCAAAGCCTTGTTTATGACACATGAAGAAGAAGCGAACCGTCCAGCACCGTTATATCACGCACCAGGCTCCGATGGCTGGGACATGTATTGCGCATGACAATACACCGACGCCCGCGACGCGTGTTGTTTGCGCGCCAGGGGTGTGGATTGAAGAAGAGGGGTGGTCAAGTTATGACTTGGTCAAGAGGAATGAAGGCCCTTACTTTGAAGTTGGTTTCGCTTGGAGCCTCTCAGCTCCCTGGTTGGAGACTGAATGACAATGAACACGTTTGACTGGATACACTTGTTGGCATGTCTAGGAACTGCCCCCAATGGCGTGTGTCATGAGTTTTATTGCCCCTCCCCCTCCAAGCACGAGCACAACTTTTAGGCATCAAATGGCTTCTTGGTGACACAATAGCCAGATGTTAGCTCTCCAGAACGATGTCCATCCGTTACTGGTGATTCAGTCGAGGTTGCCTCTGTTTTACGTTTTTATTCTTTTCTTGTGTATTGCGGCACAACAACTGAGGTGTTTTCCACCTGCAGCGAATGTGCATAGTGAATGATGAACGGATGGGGTCACCTGAACGCGGTAAATGTATCCACCACTACTACGGAAACCAGCTAGATAACTGACAATGATTCCTTTACAAACATAAATGAGAAGCAGAAGTATGATACATGTGAGATCAGAAGTCATAGTGATGAGAAAAAACGTTCTTCGATCGTTTTCCAAGATGCGAGCACCCAATTTCGCACATGGTTGACCCCTATCACCGAGCTAGTTGATAAACCGGCATAAGGTAATTATCAAATATGTTACTGTGCATGTGCCAGTAGTGTGTCCAGCTCAAATTTACGTGCATTAACCGGATGACTCGTTGTTTTGATTATTACGCAAGGGATCGTGCCAGAGTCCACTTTCGTATGTCATGGAATCACTCCAAGCTAGAGGGAACGGGACGGAGCTGAGCGCTGGTCAATTTGAAGGAATTATGAATCCATACTCCATGGAAGGACAGATGAAGCAAGAGACATCCTCTGAAGTTTATTCACCGTACACTCACCTTGGTCTACCGAAACGAATTCATCAGGAAACTGCAGTGGAGATGGAAAATGGAGAGCGAGATACCCCATCAACTGATAGAAAAACATCGCCAACTGAACCACGACTGCAGAATGAACCTGTGGATGGACATGGAGAGTGTTCTGCGATTGAGGGGCTAGCTTTCCCATCTACATATCCGCAGGTAAGTGACGGCTTTTATACTGGCGCACTATCTATTCTAATGATTTGAAATTATCCAGTAATCTCATGTTAATAGTCGAAAATCTGGCACAAAGGCGGCCCTCACGTTATGCTCTCAGTTTCTTTGAAATCAACGTGTGGCTACCCAATGTGAACCGTGCTATGACCTGAACTTACTGCCTGATACTTACAGGCACGTTGCCGCTGAGCAGTCAACCAGCTAGGAGAGGATTAGTTTGCGACGGCACGTATGGGTGCTAAGCGTCCGGAACACGGTGGGCCTATAGGCTCTGACACCGAGGGAGCAAGTTGCCGTTAAACGGAAAATTTGTGCTAAGTACGTCAGTGACCGGAAACAGACGGAAACCGAGCTGTTCCGCCATAAATCCATACTGGGCAACCTACATTATGTGATAAACTACTTTTGCAGAATCAGTAGGAGTTTCGCCTTGATGAGATCACGTGGGAGGATATTGTCACTGTGCTAGTAATTAGATTGCACTGAGCCATTTGCTGGTTGATTCGCTGATGCTTCATGAAGTCACCAGCTCGGTTATTGGACAGTTTAGATTGTAATAGTACATACATCAGATGAACCGCCCTGATTTCGAAACTTAGGTGGGAGAGAATCAGTAACCGTTAATTGTCGTGCTTTCTAATGGTAAAAGTGCGTTGTGAGAACTCATGTTTGACAATTGCATTTAGAGTTGTAATATCACAGGAGTACTACAACACGATGCGATTTCAATATTCTTCTATTTTCTCGGTTATGATCCCAACACCAAATCACAGTGGATCAGACTCAAATCTAGTATAAATCTAGCATAAATTCACCAATATTGGAAAATTAAACAAAAAATATCAGAAAAACTGAACAGATGAAAAAGCTGTGGGGTAAGAAGCAGTAAAAGACCGACTGCAGGAGTACTACTGACTTCTGGAACGCACCACCTTACAAAGTATTACTGTGGTCACTAGTACGGCCGATTCTGTGGCCCTTACCCAAGAAAATAACAATTCTATCTCCTGGGACCACATAGGCTCATCCACACACCAGGCACAGCAACGATGTATATGTCCGGGTGAAAAGTCGCTAAAGATGTATCGAATATGATGTAAAAAAGGTGGATACACTCAACAGCTTAAGCTATACCAACTGGCACAAATTTTAGCCACTTAATAGCCCAAACATTCGCCACAATACTTTATTGAGAAGGACGGAAGCAATGTCAGTCAGAGCACAAGCTAACTTGATGAACAAGTATACATAACGCGAGGTCGAATCTCGGAGCGAAACCCTGAGCGTCCCATCGACGCATCAGTGAGCAGATCGCAGCACTAGAAACGATTGACGAACGGAGCAGCGATGACTGAGTGAGCTGTAGGTCTGTTCGCACGAACAAGGCAGTTGGACAGTTAGACTGGTCCGAGTCCCTTCTATCTGGGAGAACAAACCGGAATGTATAAGGCTGTATTGAAAAGTAACAGGTAATTGAGTTGTGAAATTGTCTTATTACACTTCGAAGTGTGAACAACATTCCATGTTTATGTTTCAGTTATCTTTTGCCCCGCCGATCCCCACTCCGTCAAACGACCACCTGATAAACCCACTTGACTCAATGACGATGGCTGCCGCCGCCGCAGCACTTGCCTGGCGTGCTGGATTGACCGAGACTCATTTACACTGGCCGGAGTCAGAATACCAGCCATCAAGTGCATTGCGTAATGACAGATTAGAACATTTATGGTATGCTAACAAGGCGGAAGCAACATCGTACCCACTGACGAACCATTTCACAATGGACCAACGTACACCGCCGTTTGGAGGATCTCTGAGTGGTTCATCATGCACCACAGATTCGTCCACCGGGTTGAACGACACAGATCTGGCCCTGTCAAATTCCCTTATATCCCCAATCTCCGGTACCCAAAGCGAATTCAATCCTTTAGGCCATCATATTAAGCTGGAAAATTGTCTGACATATATGCAAAACTCCGCCCAATAATAGCACATATCACCTCTGTCTTGACAATGCCAGCAAATATTTCATCCTTGACCTAGGGTTAATTGAAGTTCACCTCCCCACACACACACCGATCGTGTACACGACCTCCTATTGATTTTCCATCCAGGCGCCGCAATCTTATTCATTTCTCATTTGTACATTTTTAGGGATGAATGATTAAAACTGTTGTAATTGATACTTCAAACGCTCATTGGTGAGCATTCTCTGCATCATTGCTGCTTTGTGGCTGTTAGCTATTTTCTACCTATAGCTCCCTTGAAAGCAACGTTCTCATTGTAAACACGCATAAGGTCACGCGGTACTCTTGGGTAACGACGTGGTTGTCTATCGTCACAGTACCACCAGACGTTCGGTGGCGTGATAAAGGAATTCGTGTCCCCCCGGGTGGTCAGCTCGATACTTTGGAGAAAGCCCACGAAATAATGGCGGATCAGTTGCTGCAACATACCAACATTCATCACTACCCAGTGGTAGCAATTACCGCCAAGTAAAAGGGAATGTGGATTCGAAGGTGAGGCGCGGTGGTTAAGTCCCGAAAAGAGGGGACGGCAACCGTAGATTTTCGGAAAGGTAGCGGCTGCGTGACTGACCATGGTTGGATATCTAAAGGTTGCGGTTGTCATTTAGGAGAGAAAGGACGGCACACTTATCAGTAGAGTAGAATTGCGACATCGATCTAGATAGAAAATGACTGACAAATCTTAGTTGTCCAGCGTGGTTTTCTTGTCAAAAACGTACTTCCAAGGTAGTTTGATTTGTATATAGTTCATCGCAATTAGATTATAATCCAGATAAGTTAAATACCAATCCGGAAAAGCACTAGATGGCCGTTTCGCTCCTTTAGGCTCGTCGGTGATGCTCATTTCCTCGATCCCCTTCAGGGAACCGAACATGAGCGCTTGTAGTTTGTACCGCTAACCAACAGCTTAGCCATGGGAGACGAGAGTTGCCCATCATGGATTGCAATATGACTCCGGGGCATCCATTCTCCACTGCTATGCAGAACACAGTGACTGACCCACAATTGTCCCAATGGAACGAAACGGGTGTTTGATGCTGTCCCGGATTGGCAACTGGTCTTTCTGACATGTAATTGAAATGGGATGGACTAAATTAGGTCACCAATTCCTCCTACTCATGAGTAGTTCAATTTTTGTCGCATTACGTTTATTGTATATACTGCCTTCCAGTTGTGTGGCTGCTGTGCTGAGCTCTATCTCCGGGTCTGAACGGACTCGTTAGCAGGTGGATAGATAGTTTTAAGATGCACAAGGAGCAGAACGACAAAGATACTCAACATGAACTGCGATAATGAGTATTAAGCAGGTGCCTGCTTTACTTGGCGTATCTAGGATAAGTATAGCGAGCTAGGGAAAACGATATAGTGCCAATGGTCTCCCAGGAGAATTCGAATGCATGATAAGGAGTCAAGTTCATCTAGAAAATAGTAAATCCGAACGGTCGATGGAACAGAATAAACAGCTGAACTGAAGGCCGGCTACATAAATCTGAGACACTCCACTGGTTTGATAGAATTGATCACGACATATAGTATTCTCAACAGCAGCCTGGTGAACATCGGTAAAGACAATCGTTCAGTGTTCCCGTCACGGTCCAAAACGTGCTGTTTTCTAAGCCTTGATGGCTGTACCGAAGAACGGTAGCAGACGGTTTTGACTGGTATTCGTATCCTGATGTAAAGCGATGATTATCGTCACATACTGAAGAATAGGCGAATAAGGTGTTAAATACTGTTTGTGTAAGAGCGGTACTGGATTTAACCTGTAACAGCGCTAATAGCCTCCGGTGGGTGGAACGATAGATTGAGAGAAACGCCAAGCAACATTCATCATTTACCAGGCAGTCTACTCTAGCGTTGACTGGGAAGAAAGGTCCGACGCGGTGACGTATCCTTTGCGCAATCTGCACGACTCGGGGTCTTGGAAGACCCACCAGCCGACTCGACTGACTGCAAACAAAATAAGGACTAATCATGGCTATGGATTGACTGAGTGTAGCTAAGTATGGTGAGCTAAGTATGGTTGGTCTTATGGTGAAGGATGCGATCAGACCGAGAGTGAATGTGTATTCATGTTATAGTGTGTCTTGACGGACGAGTAAAGTGATGTTACAGAGACACGGGCAAAATGTGGACCGATTCTAACGAGTTTGTCTGAGGACAACCGGAATGCTAAACACAGTGGTTAGCATTATGCGCGACATTCTGTCGTCATGTGTCCACTGAATATAAGAAGGTGACAAGAGTACGTCGTAGCTCCCACTGCACGCTTTACTTAAAATTTATAGTGATATTTCGATGCTATACATTATTACTAAGACGGATACCTCATGAGACACCGCAAATAGTCAAGATGATGCTCAGATTGTAAGGGGTCTGGCGAATTGCAGTTATCTTCCAATACTCCCGTGTGCGCGAAGTCAATTCGGCCGTTTATTTCGGTGGCGTTACATCAGACTGCAGCGCGAAAATTCAAATAAACAACTAGAGGAGAAGAGAATAATTTTCCTTAGATAAACGTCTCATGTCCCGTTGCTTGCAACAGACAATAAGTTTATGTTATTTTATGGATTTTCTATTTTTAAAAGGACTCACTATACATATAAATAGAACACAATTAGACGAGTGGAAGCAAATAAGCGCTCCGCTGCGATAGGTGAAAATTGGCGAAAACGGATGTTTCTGATGGATGAACGGTCATCGACGTGAAAGATCTGTGTGCATATAGTTGCATATAACTTTATAGGCATATAAGGTGCGTACCCACAACGACCAGTTAGAAATTACGGCCAAAAACAAAATTTTAGGAATCGTTCACTAAAACAAAAAATGGGATGCTCTCGGCACATGGAAGAAAACAGTGCAATAAGCTGTTGCCCATATTCTAAATTTCAGTCAAATGCATTTTTATACCAAGAATTTTATAGAAAGCCATACATGCAAATTCAAGGTACAGACCGGTGGAACATAGTTTATTTGCGTAATAAAAAATCACTTAAATTAGTATACTACCAGTGTAAATTCAGTAGCTGAGCAAGTAACAAACAGTGCTTCAGTTAGGTAGGCGACCACTGCCTGGTCACTCGACCGTAATAACTCATCGCCCAGTGGGAACAACCGATACTTCAAAGAATAGTTGCGAATTCGAAGGTCCACACAACGGAAGGTACTGTACATTGTCGACGGGCCCCATAAGAGTGTGAGGTCCTTCAACGCTCCTTCGAACGATTAGCTGGATACATCAATGAGTTAGAATTCATGATTTGGTATGCGCCGAAAGACGTGTTGAGAAAATTTGATGTGCTGTCTCCAGTTTTAACTAAATTTTCATACGACGCAACCGGAGCTAATTTTGTAGATCAGACCATAGTTAGACGAAGTAGTGAATGCAAGAAGAGTTACTGTCAAAAGCAAGCCCTGCGCTGGCATATATACACGTAATAAGTTGACAAAACAAACGAGAATAAGGTTGAGCTCATGAAATTAATGAGAGTGGTTGCCAAATGTACCAAAGGTGATAGCGACCGTAAGGAAGGGTCCATGTGAATTTATCTCGGCGCAGCAAAGCAATAGATGCGAGGTTAACAACTGATAATAGCATGACTTCAAGCGTCTAGGCAGACAGATGTGGTTGGTCACTGGGCGGCTTTAAATACTACGACGGCACCCTGCGACTGAGGCCGAAGAATGAGACCGGGGCTACATCTTCTTGAGACACAAAAGGCTCACGTCTTGGTAAAACCACCAGTAGCCCTATTCACGGACGGCGAAGTGAAATGGGATTCCATCCATGAACAAGAAAGGTCGCAGATATGGTGGGAGTAGACGGCATGCAGAACTGATGCAGGACTTCGATGACATCACAAAGCAATAGTATGTACACTGATCCAACGCTTGTCAAGTTTGTCGGTCACTCAAAAGTTAAAGACTAAAGGCACTGATGTTGGCAGCAGCAGATGGAAATTAGCTGCATTACAGAGTACCGCATCGCAGAATGTCATGGATATCACTGGCGTTCAGAATACCAAACTGGCAACTGAGCTTGGATTTATCGGCCAATATCGGAAGGTACCACATGGTGATACAATATAGCTTGGTAGATTAATAATTGCTAAGAAGTGGTGAAGCCTGTTTCTGTCTGGAAAATGTGAAGTGGAAAAGTGGATCAGTTCTGTAGGCACACAAGGACCAATGAGATGTAGCTTTAAGTTTGCGCGACAGCCAGCTGTCTGCGACAACATGCTGTTGACAAGCTGGAAGAGCCCAGACCCAGCATATTGGTTTAAGACATTAAGGTATTACGCTAGGTCCTCTTTTTCTCCCCCTAAGTATGCTTCGTTCTGTAGGTCACCGTGGTTATACGACAGCAAAGCATCAGTTCAAATGGCTGACGTACTGCTGTTGATGATGAGATCGGTTTCGGGAATTGGCCTCACACACTTAATGTCGAAGTTTCGCTGATAGCATTCCCTGAAAACGAAGATGTCATCCCCAGACTTAACAGGATCGCGCAATGAGCGCACATTGCACTAAGGATATTTAGGTAGCTGTTGGATACACTGAGAGGGGACCATGAATCATCCCGGAATCTACTAGTTTAACGGCGGTCATACAAACCGTCCTGTGGCAAAACCACCACAATGAGTTGGTACATCAATGACAACCTGGTTGAACTAAAAAGTGGATTAGCGGATTTGAATCCAATTCTCTAGCTTCACGCAAAGTTCAAATCGTACTTAAAGCTGACTAATTACCTAAATGGTCACACTATGAGCGCGGACACAATTGGAGCCGTAGAGCAGCTGATATGAAGGAATGTTTCGATGATAAGGTCAACGCCATTTCTCAACTCGGCTCATTCACACTGCCATCAAAACAATCCAGCACTCTGGGTACGTAAATCCCTACGATTCTGTAAGAGTTTGAACATGGCAGAATGTGACTCTGATACAGGAGTATGAAGGATTTTGACGAATGTGTCTCCAAAAGAACGTTGTAGGAATACCCTGATAGTATCGTGCATAAATAGGTAGACAAAAGTTGACTTGGCAGCGGGAAATGAAGTCACGGACAACTAAACTGGGTGCCGTTGGTCCGTCTCGCCTTCCGGGTTGGAGTCCACGTGACTCACCTCGTGCTTGGCTTGAGACTTTACAGGA